ACACACACACACACACACACACACACACACACACACACACACACACACATTTTAAAGAAAGTGCTGATTTCAAGATGGGAGCTGGCTAGGGAATTGCCTCCTAACTTTGGTCAATGAACCAGATTGAGCCAAAAAAACTCAGTTGCTGACACACAGGAGCCACTGAGTCATCAAATGACCAACTGCAGGAAGGTGGTGCTAAAGGTCCCAAACACCCTGTTCTGCCGAGTGTCCTTGACACATGGCATCTGCCCTCAGGACCCTGGTCCCCTCACCTGTGACGTGGCTGCTGGGTCCCTTCCTGCACGTGTGTGAGCTTCGTGCTGCTCAGATTTGGTGGGCATTTTATTCTATTCCTCTTTGCTTTTGGAGAGAGGTGGCTAAAAATGACAATATAGAGTCTCTTATTTTTATGGTGCTCATGTACTTTATATAATTAGAGATCAAGCGTTGAGGGCTCCTTTAAAGACAACATGCAAGTCAGTGCCCAGGGCAAAACTTGGCCCCCAAGTGCAGAGAGGAAGCAGGGGAAGTGCTCTGAACAAGGATGCTGGGGAGTCAAAGGTTTCCTGCAAAGAGGACATTGGAGCCCAGAAACAGGACTAATTTGGCAAAAATCAGTGGCAGAGGAACAGAAGAGATAAAGGCTAGAGGCAAGTGGAGTACTGTGTGGCTGTGTGCACGCATCCATGTGGTTCGGGGCTCCTGGGAGGCAAAGCTGGAGTCAGGGGACTTGGCTGAAGGACAGACAGAGGGCTTGAGGGCTTCAGTTTGCAAAAAGCAAGCATGCACAGGGAGCATGAAAGAGTTACACTTCATCACAGACGCCAGAATTCATGGAACCTGAGGACATCCGAGGACGGGCTTCAGGACCCGCTGGGACTCCCAGGAATTGCACCACCAGGATTTTGCATTCACATATGTTTCTGGGAGAGTGTGCATAGAGAGAATCATCAAATTAAGAACTGCAGAAAAGTTAGGAACCGCAGCCAAGAGCTGCAGAGCCACTCAGGTGTCAAGAAGAGAAGTGAGATATCAGGCAGGTATTTCCAAGGGATGGTGGTGGCACCTGGAGGATGACAGGGAAAACTAGTAAAGGAATCCTAGAGAGTGGGGGCAGGGTGAGGTCATTGGTTTCTAATAATCAAAGCTGGAGTCCAGGCCCGTGTGGAGTGACTGTGCATCGACTTTGTCAGATGAGTCATCGTACCTCTGGGCTCAGTGGAGGTTGAACTGCTGGAAGGTGCCCTGCTCCTCCCCTAGCCTGGCCGGCAGCTCATGGGGCCCCCCATATTCTCTGTTTGCTCAGCAGCCATGCACACAGCCCAGGTTTGAACCAAGAAGTCTCCAGGCCCAGCAGTGCTGAGCGCCCTCAGTAAGCGTGGGCACAAGTTCCTAGCTGCCCTCCATCCTGGAGGAGGTCCTACTCTGGGCATGAGCTGCGGCCTCCTCAGCCTAGAGGCCATGAAACAAGTGGGGACCTGGTCCCCGGTCAACATGGAAGGAACCCCTGGGCTGAATTCTAGCTTTCAGCCTAAGACACTCAACTAGGTCTAGTTTTTGGCAAAGCTTGTCCCAAGCTGACGCATGAGACACACTTTCCTGGCCCCCAGACCACTCTCCATCGCCGCAGGTTGAGAGTCCTTATGACTCAGAAAGCTGGAGATTAAGTCTCAGGAGAAGCCTCTGCTGCCAGGGCAGACAGATCTGTACCTGCAAGTGGCTCTTCAATAACAGGGAGCGGCCTTCATTTGCATCGGTGGCTGGGAACTTCCTGAAGATGGTCCTCAAGCCCCTGGAGGCCAGCACCCACTCAGGGACAAGGGCAATGAGCAGGGAAGAGTGGGGGTGGGGGTGGCAACACCAGGTACTCCAGAATCAGGGCAAAATGCACTGGCTTGGACCAGGCACTCTAGGCACCCTCCCACTGCCCCTCATGCTCGGTCTAAGGCTGGGAGATGAGAAGGGGTTGCTCCTTCTGGGTGGGTGTGAGGGGGAGCCTCCAGGTGCCACCGGTGCCCCCTGACAAACCAGTTTGGTTGCCCCTGCCTTGGCTCCCAGGGGAGGAACCAAGTCAGGCCACAGGCGGGCTGGCTCACC